CTCGCGCGGCACCCGAGCCGTGCGCAGGAGCATGGTGGCCGCCGCCGCCGCCGCCCGCCGTGTCACCGGGCCAGGCACATCCATCAGGGGCGCGAGGCGCGGGGACCCGGCCCGGCCCTTTCCTTCTCCTTTTCCTCCTCGGCCAACAGGAGGGAGGTTGAATCGCTGCCCCAGCGCGGGCACCTGCAATTGCGAGTGGCGCCTCCTCCCGGCAGGGCCAAGCAGTTCTGAGACAGCCGCCTCTGATCGCAACGACTCCCAGCCTTTCCTGATTGCAGGAGCCTCACGAGTCGCCAACAGCCCGCTGAGCGGCAGAAAACCATTCACGCCCTAAGGCCCACCCATCGCTGCCTCCTCTCTGCTGAGAGCCAATCACAGAGGACGACGGGCATTGGCTTCTGTCCCATTGGTCAGTGGCTCACAAGATGCGAACCCGCGGCGGCGGTGGTGGCGGCGGCACGCAAGAGCGCACACGTACGCTGGCTCGGGCTCAGAGGACTTCTAGGACTCAGGTCAGAACGCGGCTGTTCTGGCGTGCGCTGCTCAGGGGGAGAGCTCTCCGCCTACGCTGGAGGTCGGCTAAGTCATCCCTCGTGCTTCAGCTCACCTGTCGGGAATGCTCCGCGTGGGCCTTATCCCCACCAAGAGAAACGCTCTGTTACACACAGTCATTTTCTGATTCTTAACCACGGGCCATTCAGATTTTCCTTCCCAAGTGGCCAGCTCCGGGCAAAGATTTAACCTTGGGACGGGGGAATGCTCTACCTTTCTTCCAGCAGCTTTCAGGTTTTAAATTGTATTCATCTGCAGTAAAAAGACATTAGAAGCCCGGGATCTAAACGCTCCGAGGCGTTTACCAAGAGCTGGAGCAGGAAAAAGTGGATAAAGTGCTGTGAAAAGAATGAACGAGCTAGTTGCTTAACAGAAGGATCGTAATGGAGTCCTAATGAAAGGGTTTTAGCTTTATGTTGTTACTTTTTGTAAGCGGGATACAAAGAAAGCAAACATAACGTAACTGTAGATATAGGCTGTGTTGAAAACGTAAGGGGGAAATCCCGAGTCATTAAAGCAATCACGAAATATCATCGATCTCTTTATTAAAAAAACCAAAACAGAGGTCTTGGCATTGTTTTCAAGGGCAAAGCATGACAAGAATCCAAAGTGCTTTCATTAATTTTTGTCTATAAACCTCTTTCTGCCTGACTCAGCCTGCCAGTATCCCAATCCTTCCACTGCAGACCAGCTGCACCATTTAAAGCAATTTCCCCTGTGCAGTATTTGCAGACTAACAGATCCTACCAGAAGGTCACAGAAAACTTTTTTGAACTCTATTTTGCTTTAATGTATGTTACGACCTATCTAGCTCAATTTTCTTCCTGGGTCAGCAAATGACACTTGTTGCAAAAAGGATACTTTTTGCAATCAGCCACACAACTCTACCAGATGGAACGACATACTAGTAAAGAAGAAGGAGATTTGTTTCTAAGACTGCACAAGTGAATGAACCAAAATATATGAGTTGATTGACCACTGAAGAAATGCAGTTGTTGGTATTTACATCTATCAGTGAGTCTCACAGTGAGGTCCAGGAAGCCCAAGGGAACCTTGGGATCTTTTCAGAATTCCACGTAGTCAAACTACTTTCATAATACTAATAAGACTATTTCCTTTTGCATTCTAGAGACTGCATGATACGTGATGACACTGTCACTCTAAAGACCAAGAGAATGTGTGTTTGTATATTTTTGCATATAAAAACTTTTCAGATTTAATTTCTAATATGGCAGCTATGAGTAGGTGTAACCCACAAAAATAAAGAGTCTTTAGGGTCCTCAATAACAGGTGTCTTGAAGCCAAAAAAGTAAGAACTTCTACAATACACAATTATCTAGTCCTCTAAACTTCAGCCATAGTATCTACCTCTCATTATAACCTCAGAGAGAACACCAGTGGTCCTCTTGGCAATTGCTTCCCTTCACATTTATTGATACATTCAGTGCTTTAGTAGAAGAGAAGGAAAGAGAAAAACAAAAGAGGCCCCAGAAAGAGAAGCCCACTTATTAAGAACAGCTTTCCATCCCTTCCCTGAGTCTTGGAGACCTGAATTGTGTTCATCTGTAAATCATTGGTTCTGAAATTTTTCCTTGGTATTAATCATTTAGGCAATGTTGGGCATTAACAAATAACAATTGTTCTTGAATTAGGTAGAAACTGTTTTATTATTTTTCTCTAAGAGGTCATGGCAGAATTCTAAGAATGACTCCCAGTGTGGCTGCCCTTCTATAATTCCCACCCCTTTGAGTGTGGGGTGGCACCCTTGAATTTAATGAGACCATACAACTGCTTGTTACATTGTATGGCCAACGTGAGATTATCCAGGTGGGCCCATCTAATGACACTAGCCCTTTAAAAGCAGAGAATTGGCTCCTGCTGGTGGCAGAAGAGGCAGGGAGAGATATTTGAAGGAGAAAGATAGCCATGCTGTTGCTGAAGGGAGCTGTGTGCCAAGAATGTGGGTACCCTGTGGCAGTTGAGACTGACTCTTGGCTGACAGCCAGCAAGGAACTGGGGATTTCAGTCCTTCAGTCACAAGGAGCTGAATTCTGCTAAAAACCTAAACAAGCTTGGAAGTGGATTCTTCCTCAGAACCTCCAGATAAGAGCACAGCACAGCCAACACCTTAACTTCTGCCTGTCAACTTTAGAGAAACCACCCAAGCCCACCTGAACTTCTCATCTACAGAACCGTAAGCTAATTTGTAATTTTTTAAGCAGTCGAATTTGTGGTAATTTGTTATACAGCAATAGGAAACTAATACAGAGGTAAATAGAATATATGTTTTAAATTGAGGTAATAGTCACATAATGCGAGATTACCCATTAACCATATTTAAGCGTACAACTCCGTGGCATTAGTACATTCACAATGTTGTGCAACCATCACCTCTATCTAGTTCTAAGATATTTCACCACCTCAAAGAAAACTTGTACCAGTTAAGGGATCACTCCCTTTTCTTCCCTCCCCCCAGCCCCTGGCAAACACTCATGTGCTTTCTGTCTCTATGGATTTACCTATTCTGGATGTTTCCTACAAGGGGAATCATACAATATGTGAGTTTCTGTTTCTACCTTCCTTCATTTCACATAGCATTTTCAAGGTTCAGCAACATTGTAGCATGTATCAGTACTCCATTCTTTTTATAGCTAAAAAATGTTCCACTTTGCATAACACATTTTGTTTATCCATTCATAAGTTGATGGGCATTTGGGTGTTTCCCTTTTTTGGCTATGTGAATAGTGCTGCTATGAACATTTATGTGTAAGTATTTGAATGCCTGGTTTCAATTCTTTTGGGTATATAGGAGTGGAATTGCCAGATCGCCTACTAATTCTATGTTCTGCTGTTTAAGGAATGGCCAAACTGTTTTCCACAGAACATACACCATTTAACATTCCCACCAGCAATGTATGAGGATTCCAATTACTCCACATCTTTGGCAACACGTGTTTTCTTTTTTCCTTTTTTAAAATATCCATCCTAGGGATGTGAAATGGTGTCTCAAGGTTTTGATTTGCATTTCCCTAATGACTAATGATGTTGACCATCTTTTCATGTATTTGTTAGCCATTTGTATGTCTTCTCTGGAGAAATATCAACTCAAGTCTTTTGTCCACTTTATAATTGAATTGTTTATCTTTTTGTTGAGTTGTAAGAGTTCTTCATATATTCTGGAGAGTAGAGCTTTGTCAGGTATATGATATGCGAATCTTTTGCCCATTCTGTAAGGGTAAATAGAATATTGAGAGACATTTTTCTCTATACAGATGGTCTCCAACTTAATGGTTCAACTTAATGGTTTTTCGACTTTATGATGGCGTGAAAGCAATAAGCATTCAGTAGAAACTGTACTTGGAATTTTGAATTTTGAGCGTTTCTGGGGCTGGTGTGGTATGATTCTCTCTTGCCATGCTGGGCAGCTACTGAGGCCACAGCTCCAAGTCAGCCAGGTGATCATGAGGGTAACCGACCAATACGCTTATAACCATTCCGTACCCAGACAACCATTATATTTTTCATTTTCAGTACAATGTTTAATAAATTATATGAGATAGTCAACACTTTTATTATAAAATAGGCCTTGTGTTAGATGATTTTGCCCAATTGTAAGTTAATAGAAAGTGTTCTAAACATGTTTAAGGTTGACTAGACTAAGTTATGATGTTTGGTAGGTGTATTAAATGCATTTTCGACTGAAGATATTTCAACTTACAATGGGTTTATTGAGACATAGCCCCAGTGTAAGCTGAGGAAGATCTATATATGAAAGCATGAGGGAATGTGTGTTTTGCAAAAAGTAGAATTATATTATGTACGCTTTCGAATCTTTTTCTCACTCAGAAATAATTCATGCAAAACATTCCATGTAATAAGGTTAAGCTCTAATTCTTTCTAAGGTTGCATTGTGTGGGTGTGCTAAAATTTATTGAACTATTCCCTTTTATGGCCACTCTGGTTTTAGTTTTTTGGTCACTGCCAACAATCCTGAAGTTAACATCCTCGTACAATATATGTCTATGTATTGTTTTCATTTTATGGGATTTATTCCAAGGAGTGGGGTAACTGAGTCAGAGTTATATATTTTTTAATAGGAATTGTTCAGTCACTCTCCATAAAAGCTATAATAACTTACATTTTTACTAGCCACATATGAGAGTATTCTTTCTGCCCTGCATACTTGCCAACAACAGGTGTAATCAGGCTTTAAAATTTCTGCTAGTCTGATAGGTGAAAATCAGTGGTTCTCTACCTGTAATGATTTTGCCCCAGCCTGACCCCCAGGACACTTGGCAGAGTCTGGAGAGATTTTTTGATTGTCATAACTGTCAGTCATAGTTGGGGAGTAGGTGCTACTAGCTTCTAGTGGGCAGAGCCAGGGATTCTGCTAAATATCCTAAAATACTCAAGGCAGCCTCCACAACAAAGAATTATCCAGCCTAGAATGCCAATAGTGCCGAGGCTGAGAAACCCTGGTGTAAAGTGATACCTCATTTTGTCTTCAGTTTGAAAATCTTTATGGATGAATT